TAGGTTTAGCGTTTACAGTGTGCTTCTGTCTCCGCGCTGTTGTTGCGCTGTTGATGACGTCAGCTACGCGGTTTAGTCGAGCGCGGTTTAGTCGAACACGGTTTTGTGGTGGAACCTATCTAGACAACTCTAGGAAATAGAAGGCAGAGCAATCACAGACACCGATAGGACTGAAGCGCAATTCTCCTAGAGTCAAGGCAGAGTTGTAAGCAAAAAGGGGCACATTACCTTGAACAGCTTTGTTGCGGGTCCATTGGTAAAAAGGTTACCGTATGTTCCTCGTGATTCCCAAGTGACTGTTTGTTACAGAACAGTAGCACTAACTCAGAACATAGCCTTATGAAGTTTTGGTCATCAAAAGCAGATTCATCTCATACACCACCCCAAACCCAGGACTTTGTGCCATCGCTGTCAGATTGTTACCGAAGCCAAACATTCCATATTTTTCACCAACAATGCAACTGCTACCTGAAATCATAGAAGTCTGCAAATTCCAAAGCAGCGTCTCCCTCAATGAAGAGCTTGCAATGGCTTTTGTCATTCATGTGTGCCTGTACAGCTTTAGTTGTGTAGAAGGACTTCCCTTTCTCATTGCACCATAGACAGATCTTCCCAACCCCAATCTTCTCTCCTAAGCATTGGAAGAAAAGAGACAAGAATTGACCTTTGACCTTACATGACTTCAAAATATTAATTGCATCCTAGCATTTAGGATCAAACGACTTTCTGTTCTCGCCACTACTGTCAAGAATCACAATTCAGATTTCTCACCGGCCCTGCACCCCGCCTTCTTTTCCACATCAAGGAATTACCCCAGCATTTTTTGACAAAACAGTCGATTGGTAGTCAGAGTAGCCGTTCTACCAATGGCCTCATTGTTAACTATTAGAAATCTATTTATCATTTAAAAAATGTTGCCTGTGAGAACAAAGGCAACTATAAACAAGTACAGGTAGTCCTCAACAAATAACCACAATTAAGCCTAAAATTTATATTGCCAAGTGAGAAATTTGTTAAGTGAGTTTTGCCTTTTCTTATAACAGTGGTTAAGTGAATCACTGCAGTCACATTTTTCAGTGACGTTGTAACATCCAACGGTCGCCAAGTGAATTGTTGGGCATCAAGGAGTACCTGTAAAATAAGGATGAAATGACCTATGTTCCAAACTTGGCCAAGTCTCAGTCAAGGTTCCTTGTCCAGAAAAGGAGGGGGCATAATAGAATGTATCTACAGCGTTTAAAGAAAATATATACAAGATGGTTTATAGATGGCACTTTCCCCCAACGAGGTTAGCCAAAAT